TCCATTCATCGATTAATTCCATAGCTTAGACTACAGTGACCAACACTGGCTTATAGACATGAGAATACAAGTGTCTCTGTTGTGTGAAGACTTAGATATATGCTCAGGAGTGGCATATTGGGACTATCTGGCACTTTTATCATTATTTTTCTAAGGAACCTCCATACTGATGTGCCTAGTGGCTGCACAAATGTCCATTTCCACCACAGCATATGCGCATACCTCCCACATCCTGGCCAGCATCCGTTGTTGTTTGTTCTCTTGATGATTGCCATTCTGACACAGGTGAGATGGAATCAGTGTAATTTTGATTTGCGTTTCCTTTAGGGCCAATACATGTTCTAGGTTCTGAGAACATGGCGGTGACAAGAGTAAAAATAATTGTGGCCCTGCTCAGTTTACATCATAGAGGGAAAGGTAGATTAACATATATCTGGATGTCATGACATACTATCTAGAAAAAAATACCAAATATAGATGCTGGGTTGCAGATATATACTATAGTTTAAGAATAAAAACAAGGTCGGGAAGAGCGTCGGCAGTGTTAGTTGGCTGTGACCTTTGATTGGGAACCCAGGAAGGCTTATTTAGGAAGTGGTATTTTAGCCGAGATGGGAAAGAAAGGAGTGAAGGAAAGGAGTTAATACACGATGAAACTTTTAAGGTAAATCATGAATTCGAAATAGAGAGAAATGAAAGAGAAATTGAACTGAAAGAGAAATTGCCTTTTCAATGTTTCTGAGGATCAGAAACCCAACTGCGTCTACGCTGTTTGTAATTTCCATAATTATTTCCTTTTTTTAACCGAAGCATTTAGATAAGTTCTTTTTGAAAATGTCAACCTGTCTTCAGCGTCAGAAGGGGAAGGGAAGGGAAGGGAAGGGAAGGGAGGATTGGTCTGTGCTTGGCCCATCTTAAAGAGGTACAAGCACACCTGGAAGCTGACCAGACAGGCATGGGCGAGAAGAGGACGTTCAAGCAGTGGTCCTAGCAGTCCCTTGCCTCCTTCAGGTTCTCTTTCAGAGTGTGCAGGTGTGGTGCCTGGGCTCATCCAACACTGGCCCCCTACGCAAGTCCCCTACCAGGTCCCTCCCTGGTTCACCTCCAGGGCAGCGTTGGCACCTCTCAGTTTCCCCATTCACCTCCATCCAGCTTCCTACAGTGATATCATGCTGCATGGGACATTTTTTTTTTTTCCTTTTTGGCAGTTCTAAGGCTTGAACTCAGAGCTTCACACTTGCTAGGATTGTGTTCTACAACTTGAATCATGCCTTCAGCCCTGCTTTCTTTCTGGGGAGGTGGGGACATGGTGATTTTGTAAATGGAGTCTAGTATACTTTTCCACCCAACTGTCCTCAAACTACAATTCTCTGGATCTCAGCTTCCTGAGTAGCTAGGACCACAGGCATGAGCCACCAGCTCCCAGCCCTTAAATGAGATTTTTTTTTTTTCTGGTTGGTTGTGGGGCCTGAACTCTGGGCCTGGGTGCTGTCCCGCAGCTCTTCAACTCAAGGCGAGCACTCTAGCACTTGAGCCACAGTACCACTTCCAGTTTTCTGGTGGTTAATTGGAGATAAGAGTCCCACGGACTTCCCTGCCCAGGCTGGCTTTGAACTACATTCCTCAGATCTCAGCCTCCTGAGCAGCTAGGATTACAGGCATGAGCCACTGGCACCTGACTTCAATGAATTTTTTTTAAACCCACAAGCATATTTAAAGAGAGCTGAGTTCGCTTCGGCAACACATATACTAAAATTGGAACGATACAGAGAAGATTAGCATGGCCCCTGCGCAAGGATGACACGCAAATTCGTGAAGCGTTCCATATTTTTAATATTATGCAGCCATTAGAAATGACAAAATAATGGCATTTGCAGGGAAATGGATGGAGCTAGAAGGAATCATGTTGAGCGAGGTAAGCCAAGAACGAAGAGACAAACGGTACATGGTCTCCCTCATAAGTGGATGCTAAATCCAAAAGGTTAGTGATACGACAAAACTAACAGGACTTAAGAAACAAAGAACTCCCGCTCATCTGGTGGAACCACTACTAAATATCCTCATGCTGCTGATCACAAATATGGTATATAACATGTGAACACTGTTATATATTACAGACTGTGGTAGACAATTTGCTCCAGGGAAGTTAGAATGAACTTGTGACTTTGAAATTATGTAATCATTTAATCACAATCAAAAAAAAAAAAAAAAAAAAAGAACCTCGGGGAAGGGAGGGAGGGAGGGGATGGTAGGGGGAAAACAATGGAGGGGGTAACAATGTTCAAGAGGAAGTGTACTCATAACCTCACTCATGTAACTGTGACCCTCTGTATAGTAGCTTTACAATAAAAAAAAAAAAAAGAAATAGAAAAAAAAAAAAAAAAAAAAAAAAAGAAAATGAACTTTACAACCTCGGTGGGGAAGGGGAAGAGGGGAATTGTAGAGGTGGGCGGGAAGGGATGGTAGGGGGAAAACAAAGGAGGAGACAACAATGCTCATTGGGAAATGTACTCATTACCTTGCTCATGTAACTGTAACCCCTCTGTACAACATATTTACAATAAAAAACGTACAAAAAAGGAAAAAAAAAAAAAAATAAAGAGAGCTGATATATGGGATAGGAAACCATTTCCATTGTAGGCAATAGCTGTATACAATTTAAGGTCTGGTTTGGTGCTGAGGACTGAACTCAGGCCCTTACATATGCTAAGCACATGTCCTACCATTGAGCCCAACATCCCCAGTCAATGTCTGTATCTTAGTAGTGGTCTTCTGAAAATGATGCCTAATAGCAGAGCAGTGGGCTTGTTGAGACACTATGGGGAGGCTCAGGCCAGTGCTGTACGATGAAAGGCCTGAGCAGTTGATCTAGGGCCCACGGACCCTTCCTCCCCAACCATTCTGGGTTCTCCCAACTCATGGTTCTAATGCCTTGGGACAATTCATCTGACTCCTCCAGATCCCAACTTTCTCATCCTTTAGAATTTAGTCCCCCACAACTCTTGCAGTTGCTGATTCCATGGTAAGAATACCAGTCCCTGCAGGACTGACCAGGGGAAAGGTTTACAGCCAAAGAGCCTAGCCACTCTCAACCCAATTCAAGTCAACCACAGTCCACTCATTACAGAAATTCTTCTGCCACGGGCCCTTCCTGCCAACAAGGAGCGCCGTCTGTTCACAGGACAGGCCTGAGCTTGAACAGCCTAAATGCCCTCAGCGCTTCAGTCAAGTAGAAGGGACAGAGACTGAGGAGCACGGGGGAAGGCCGAAAGGGCTGTGAGCCCAATCCAAGGGTAGGCTGGCCTTTGTTACCAGGTGTCACAGTGAGTGAGAAGACACTCCCTGCGTGAAAGGAATGGGGAGGCTTCCCACCCTGAGCCAGGCCACAAGTCAGACTTTTCCCCAAGGCTCAGACTTGCTCCACTCAAGCTGCTCCCTGACACCCTCCCCCTCCTCAAGCAGGCTCCAGCCCCTCCCTCTCTTCTCTGTTTATCACTTGGGTGGGACCCAAACCTGTGGGGAACTGAAAATCAACAGCCAACCTGGATTGCTATTGTTTGGTTTAACCGAACTGCTGGCTGGGCGGCCTGGGAGGGGAATGAGGAGGAGGAGGAGGCTGGGGAACACTGAGCAGGCGGCTTCCCTGGCCCGGCCCCCAGCTTTCTCCACGGGGCTACAGTAAGTAAGCAGAACTGTTTTGGGAAGGTGGTTGCTAGTTCCAGTGGACTCCTGACCTAGTCGCCTGGAAAGGATGGGAGTTTAAGGAAGAGGCCACCAGGCTCCAACCTCTTATCCTCATGCTGGAGCCTGGCCCCTCGGCCTCTTGAACACACGGGGGTCCTAATGCCAGCCCTAGACCATGCAAGGCCCGAAGCAGGGTAGTCAAGAGCCTGCATCCAGAAAAGGGCCAAGCAGGCCTGGGTGTAGACAGCCACCTGGGTGCTCCAGAGCTACGGGAGTAGGGGAAGATGGGAAGAAAAGAGAGTGGAGGACACCTAATCTAGAAGGCTCTGGCAGAGTGACCTGTCCTTCTAGCCTCCTGCCCCTTCGCTCAACCAAGCATGACCTCGTCCCTGCTGAGTAAGCCTGGGGAAAAAGCCACTCAGGCCATATCAGCTAAAGATGAGGGGGTCAGAGGGGTTGGGAAGGATGATTGGCTGGCCAGGGTTGGCTTTCTTATATCCTGAGCCCCACTCTCCTCTCCTCTAGCTTTCTCTTCCATTTGCCACCCTCCCCCCCGCCATGAACCCCCTCCAGGAGGCAAGGGGCAGGGTCTGCCCCCAGGAAGGGCTGGGTAGAAAAGGGGCCAGGGCACAGTTAGGTGTTGGCAGAATCAATTAAGAGTCACGCTAATCACCATCATTAAGGTTATAAAACCCCACACCTAGGGGCCACAGGGCTCCCTGGCCTGGCCCGAGGCCCTGAGCTATGGCATGGACCCAGGGGCCCGGCTCCAGTCCCTTTCATCTGAGCATCTCCCGGTTCTGCACAAACAGTAATTAGCACCCGCCCCCGGGGAGCACCTCATTATCCCACAGACACCGAGCAGAGGGGAGGAGGGAAGGGAGAAAGAGGAGGAGGGAAACTGAGGCTAAAGAAACTTCCTTGAACTATGGGGTTGAGCAGGGAGGCAGGCAGGCCTGCCCCTGCTGCCCTCCCTCCCCCTCTGCCTGCTCAGATGGCCTCATTTGCCAAAGGCTGTGGGAGAGCGAAGCCCTCGTTAGGGCGAAGATGGGCTGAGAATGGTCAGAAGGAACAGTTAGGTCCTGTACCCAGTATCGGGGTGCAGCCCTTTGGGACAGGTCCTATCAGAACTTCCCAGATGCCCCGAGGCCATCCCCCCCCCAAGACTCCCTGAGTCTGTCTCTAGAGCAGTTATACCCTTCCTGCTCCATCCTGCTCCTCCAGGGAGAGGCAGCTTAGCAGACCGAGGGGACAGAAGCATGGGGGGAGGTCAGCCTTCACTGGGTAACCCAAGTCTCACCTGTCTCTCATTTCAGGGCAGCAACATAAAGAAAGGAAAGATCCAGGGCCGGGAGTTAACAGGTAACCAAGCCCTCTAGTACCCCCTTCCTCCAGCCAGGGAGCTGCTTTGTGATGTGTAAACAGCAGCTCTGTAGAGTCTGATGTCATCTCCACAACTTCCTCACAAGGTTGCCGACATCCAAGTCATCTTATAAAGAGAATGAAACTGGGGGGGCCGTAGGCCTGCCCTGTGACACAGGGTTAGTAAGGGACAGAGCTAGCTGGAGTCTGATCACAGGGGCCTGTCGGACTGGGCAGTGCTTGTAACTTCCAAGGCCCTCCCCTCCCTGCTCCCAGCACCCTCTTACTCCCATTCCCCCCCACACACCCCTACCCGCCCCTCCACCCCCAGGGTGCTCTCTGGGCTCCATCTGAAGGGATTGCTCAGGTGGTGAGCTCACTGCACACAGGGACTTAGTATAGCCATCTCTCAGGCTGTGAAGCAGCATGGGCTCAGGTTCCTGGGTCCCTGGTCTCACCTCCCAGAGCCTCAGTTTCCTCATCCAGAAAGTGGAGACAGTTGTAAGTGAAAGTTATGCATCTAACCCAGGGTCTGGTCAGATGAGTGGCTCAATGGGTACAGAACTCCCTCCCCCCACCCCAGTCGTTCCCCTCCCCCCCTTTACATCTAGAGATTTTGAGTGGATGATTCTTTTGGTGGGCATGCCAGGATTGGGGTATGAACCAAGTGCCTGAAAGCTGTCCCTTAGCTTTTTCCACTCAAGGATGGCACTCTACCACTTGAGACCACTTGAAACACAGCTCCACTTCCAGCGTTTTGATGGTTAATTGGAGATAAGAGTCTCACAGACTTTCCTACACAAGCTGGCTTTGGACCACAATCCTCAGATCTCAGCCTCCTGAGTAGCTAGGATTACTAGTGGGAGACGCCAGCACCCAGGAAAGTGGATGACTCTGATGTAATGCCCTGGTGATGGGGAAAAGTCTCCAGGTCCCCTGAGGCTTCATCCCCCATTGCATGGAACAGCCACTGGCTTGAGTACAAACCTCTGACTTGTCCGCACTGATTCCTGTCCTTGACGGTGGAATATGCCCACCTAAAGGGTCCTCAGCAACCCCAGTGCCCAACAGTCTTAAGGGATACTGCCCTGCCCTTCACACACCAATGCGCACAAAGCTCAGAATGCAGGGGCATTCAGCATTGGTGATATTGGAGAAGAAACACGGATTTACCTGAATTCACACACACACACACACACAGTCTCTCCAAAACAACCTAGAGCTAGCCCCACAACTCTTCATATGCACAGATCTGTCCCTGTGTAAACCCTCAGACACACACACACACACACACACACACACACACACACACACACACACACATCTGCGATGGGAAAGATGGAACAGTCAGGAATTCCCCCAGCTGTTGGCACGCTGTAAGCCCCGTGGCCGGAAGTGCACTATAAGGAACACTGTTAGCAGTGCCAAACAGTTGATTGCTCTTTTGTTTCAAGGTCTTGAGAATAAAGGAGGGGAACTGAACAGCCGTGAAATACCCACCCGTGCTCCCTCCCACCCACAGCCTCATCCAAAACACTCCTTCCCCACCCTTCCCAGGAAGATTCTTGACTCCAGCCTGCTTCTCCTCTTTGGAGAGAGAGATGGAGAGAGGGGAAGGGAGTGGGAAAGAGCCAAGCACTCTTGGAAAAGACCCAGTTTGAAAGACCCTCATCTGGGCCAACAAAACCCTGGGTTCCTGAATACACTTGGGAGAAGAATGAGGGATATCTCCACTCCATTTTTATCTCCCCTCCCCCCCAAAAAAAACAAGCAAACAACAAACAAACATACAGAAAACAGTATGGAGGAAGAGTCAAGGGGAGGGAGATGAGCCTTCTCTCCAAGGCCCCAAGCACCCAACTCCTTCAGCGCCTGTGATCAAACCTTTGAACCCAGTTCCACCCACTCCCATAACCACTTCCAGATCTTCCAAACCCAGCCAAGAAACTGGCTTCTTTAGGGATTGAGTTCATAAGGAAATGCTGAAAAAATAAATAAAAACCCACGGCCAAACACACTCACAAGGGAAGATGGGTTTCTCTTGAGACAGGAAACACAGCAGGATAGACTAAAGCAAAAACAGGACAACACCAACACCCGTTGGCCCAGAAAGTCCTGGGAACCATGCCAAACCATGCCAGCACCTTAGACCAGCACCTTAGCCTGGAGCCTTTCCCCTCTATCCCCCCATCCCTACCCTCCTGCCCCCTCCCCTCGCCCCTGACCAAAGGTGAAATCCTCATAATGTCTAATGGGAGAGACTCAGAATGGTCAGCAAGGACCGTAGAAGACAGGGACACTTTGAGCAGCTAAAGATGGCTACAAGCAGAACCTCTCTGCCCTGGGTAGCATGTACCCGAGCCCACCTATCTATTCTTTTCTTGTCCTGCAGCCTACCGCCCTCCCACCCCACCAGCAGCCACGGGCTTCCATCGCTACCAGTTCTTTCTCTATCCTCAAGGAGAAAAGATCATCTCTCTCCTTCCCAAAGAAAACAAAACTAGAGGTAAGGCTTTCCCATTCCCAAGGTGGATTCCAGGGTGAAACTGAAGCTTTGTGCGTTCATGGGGGGGTCAGAGCCTTCATGTGGGAGTTTTAGAGCCTTGACCCCCACCCAAGAGGCTTAAAGACTGGAGTCAAACGATGGGGTTTCTTGGTAATGAACTAAAGTGAGGGTTCTAAGAGATGTTGGCTTTCTGTGTGGGGTCCTCCCAGAAGCAAATCCCGTAGACCAACGAGCACCCCCAAAAACTTTGCACGGCATGTGCAGGCAGCACCCCACAACATCTCAGCAGGTAATTGTGCCCTATAATTGAGGCCAATCTGTGCTAGAGGGCCCTGGAATGCCACTCTGCCGGTCTGTCTTCATTGGTGGCTAATTGCTTGCTCTGCCCTGCCATCTTCAGTGGTAGGGCAAAGATGTCCCCAGACACACCCCCTCCACCGGGTTCTCTGAGCAGCCCTCCATGAACTCTAGAAAGGACCCATTTTCAGTAGATTCCTAACGGCCAACCCAACCTGCCGGGCTTAGCCCTCACCCTTCTATCTCCAAGGCTGGGCAGCAGGAGGAGCTGGGGCCTGTGGTGACTCACCTGTGTGAGCCACACCCTTCCTCTAGCCTTAGATTTCTCTTCAGGAAAATGGGAAATAAATTAATCCCTATGCACTCCATCACCTCCCCAGTTTGAGGATAGAGAAGGTCGTGTAGAATGCACACGCGGCGGCAATCTGAAGGTACAAAAGGTGGCTCCCTCAGGCTGTCTGCAAAGGAACAGGGAGGGTAGGTATCAGCTCCCATTTCCTCTCCCCCAGTGACCCCAACCAACCTCCACCCACTGAGAAACCAGCCCAGGCATTGTCACATACCCAATGCTTGAGGCCCCAAAGGAGAGGAGCCAGAGCCCAGGGAGGCAGTAGGTCCTGGCAGAGCAGTGGAGTCCTTGAGATGATGCCAAACAGGGACCGCCAATGACAGATGGCCCCAGGCACCCAAAACTGCGTCAGTGCCACCTTTCCACCCATGAACCCTCCCCAGGTGCCCTCAGCCCCTGGCCAACCTGCAAGACTCTTTCACGGCTCTGCCAAAAACACACTTTCAAGTTTCCATACAAAGAGACAAGGGAGTAAAAAGTGCATCTCCCCCAGGCCAAACAAGTTTCTTCAGCATCCTGGGTACCAATCTCTCCAAAGATGTCTGGAAGCCCCTTCTGCCAGCCCAGCGATCGTCACGCACACCGTCTCCTACAGCATTCCCTAACCTGAAGATTCACACTGAGTTAAAGCAATGTCTCAGGTCCCCCACCCCCCTTGAGATTCCAGGGTCCCAACACCAAAGTCTTGGGCAGAATCATGCTCAGACAGGATCACACCAAGGAACCTCTCCAGGCACTTGCTGTCTGTGGAAAGATGGAGTGGGAAAGCAGAAGCATTCAATGATGCCAGGAGGAGCAGTTTGTGACAGTGGCAAAGACACTGCCCAACTCTGCCAAGCCAGGGCTCCTGAGGTCCAACTACAGATTCACCTCCAGGAATCACAGCGCCCAGAACACAGGTAGCAAGGCAAAGACGCTAGAAATGTGTGGGACCTGAACTCCAGTATCAATCTCTTGGGATCTTTGCTAGAACTACAGGCACACAACACACCCATGACCCACCTTCCATTTACAGGAAAACTTAGAACGTGGGCATGCATCTGAGCCAAATTCTCTTGGGCACCTGTGCCGTTTTCATTTGCTCCCAGACGACAGACTCGGCAGAGGCTCCAGCCTTGCCATGGGATGCCTTCCACAATCCCAAGGTCCCAGGGGATTGGTTTTTCCTTGCCCTCAAGGGGCTTACTGTGACGTAATAACACAAAGCAGCTTATCAGCAAGTGCTTCCTTACATGCTTCTGACTGTGAGGACACTGAAGACGACCAAGTGGGCTGAAGGACCCCCCTTTTGTTGCTGGGGGTCCCCCCTCTGTCCAGGATAGCATAGTCTCTTCAATGAGGGGAAGGGAGCAAAGGTGCTTTTAACATAGGATGGGGAAACGCCACTTCTACTGTGTAGTGATATAACTTTGGGGTGAATCAATGAACTTGTATGGGCCTGCATTTCCTCTCTAGAGAATGAGGAGGTGATCATTTGTAGCCCATCTACAAATCTTCGGGACCCTGAGGCTCAGTGGAAAAGGCTGGGGATGTGGGCTAAGCCCTGTGGAAGAAGATTGGTGTCCTCGATGGAAGGAAAAGAGTTCCCTGGGCCAGGGAAGCTAGAGGCAGTGAGGGGCTGGCATGGATGAACCCAAGACGATTGCAAAAACAGAAACAGCAGTCTTTGCACAATGCCAGGCTCTGAGGGCCTGGCATACTGTAAGTGCTTGGGGACGCATGGAGCCCTGACTGACTCAAGGAGGCCAGGGCACAAGGCCTTGCCAGAGAATGCAGGTCCAGGGACTTGCCTTGGTCTGATTTTTCTCTCCGTGGGAATGGAGCCGGGAGGGAAGGGTGTGGCATAACCAGCTTGGACGTCCCAGGTGAACAGGCAGGAGCAGCATCTAGAGACTAAAGGGGAAAGGTCAGACTGGGTATGGGAATATCCCTGGGGACAGCAGGGCAGTTAGAAGGAAGTTTTGCAAAGCAGTTTTGAAACCAGAGTAACCTACAGGCTCCCAGTGTGGTGCAGGGTTCGAAAAAAGCAAGTGAAGAACCAGTCTGTTGATGATGATGATGATGACGATGGGGCTTTAATTCAGGGCCTGGACACTGTCCCTGAGTTCTTTTGCTCAAGGTTAGTGTGCTACCACGTTGAGCCACAGCACCACTTCCAGTTTTCTGGTGGTTCATTGAAGATCAGTATCTCACCGACTTTCCTGCCCAGGCTGGCTTCAAATTGCACTCCTCAGGTCTCAGCCTCCTGAGTGGCTAGGAGTACGGGCATGAGCCACCAGCACCTGGTAAGAATCAGCCTTTTAGGAATCGTGTTCTAGTCCTGTTTGAGCACTTGTCCTCCCTAGAAACTCATGTGTGAATGACAGAAAAGGGTGAGAAGAGAGCTTGAGGTGATCCTACTGAATCTGCCATGGCTGTGCGGAGGGTGACGGGTGGCACTTCAGAGCCGAGGGGGTTAAACCTGTCCCCTGGATCCCTCTTTATCCTGTGACTCAGCACAAGTGCATGCGGTCAGCAGATGAGGACATTCACACCCTCATTGAGGCCAGCTCCAGTGGCTCACACCTGTAATCCTAGCTACTCAGGAGACTGAGATCTGAGGACCAAGGTCCAAAGCCAGCTGGGGACAGGAAAGTCTGTGAGACACTTATCTCTAGTTAAGTATCAAAACACCCGAAGTAGAGAGCTGTGGCTCAAGCAGTAGTGCTCCAGCCTTGAGAAAACAGAAAACAGCTAAGGTGCAGCACCAACCCCGGAGTTGTAGCCCCAGTACCAGCACAAACAAACAAACAAACAAAAACCCTCATAGTGAGAGCTTAAACAAGCCACTTCACATCTCTGGGCCTATTTCTACCTCATCAAGCCAACAGGTTAGACTAGCTAGTCCACCGTGGAATGACCTAGAACTGATTTACTGTCCACTTCCTGAGCTCTTGCACCTCTGATTTGGAACATGAATGGAGACAGCTGAGCAGGCTTGACTGGCAAGACCAACCCCAGATATTTGTGTGTAGGGGTATGTGTGTGCGTGTTGGTTGGTTGGTTGGTTGGTTGGTTGGTTGGTGCTGGGCTTGAACTCCTCACTCCAAGCCCTCTCCTGTCATGTCCCCATCAGAGACCTGCTCTCATGGTGTTCTGATAGACTTCCTCAGGCACCTGCTTGGGTCTTGCTTATATCAATCAATCTTGTTCTCCTCACGTTGGCCCTGCTACCATGAGACTCTAAATTCCCTGAGAGCCAAACTCACCTCTGACGTCCTTCTTTTTATCACTTCTCTGTGCCCAGCCCACCGAGGGCTCACACATGTGCGTGTATGTCTGTGTGTGTGACCCATATATCCACATTCACAAACCATTTACACACAGCGTGTACCTCCGTGGTTAACGTCCTCCATCACCTGAAGAGGCAGCCACCTCTGTAAGCACCGTGCCTGCAAATGACAGTCTCCACTTACACATCCTCCCTGTCCCAAGCCCAAGCAGACAAAGCAATCACTCCGCCAGCCTGCTCTGCATCCGCTGACCTTCACCTTGCTGACCGCACCAGGTCAGATGGGCAGGACAGTGCCCAGAATCCCCCCCTACACACACACACACACACACACACACACACACACACACACACACACACGTGGGATTAGTGAAACACCCACCACAGTGAGTGGTTTGGATGTCCGAACGTTCGCAGTTAACAGAAAGGGGATTTTGTTCTGAATCCTGGGGAAGGGCTGTTGACACTGTTACCAGTTCCCCGGGAATCCTTCCCTCAGCCCAAACCGCTACACTGCTGGACCCCGGCACGGGCACAGACAGGAAGCAATTTGCATCCTACAGTCCTGAGCCTGAGAAAGTTCAACCTAATCAGTGGCCCCTTCCTAGGGGAAGGCTGTGGTGAGCCTCAAACTTCTGGGGGGCTGTGGCTCCCCATGCCATACCTCAGCCACTTCGCCCAGAGGTGTCACAAGCTGGCCTCATGCTCTCTCATAAATGAGTCAGGGAATTCCTCCCTGTGTCTCACAGGGTAACAGCTAACTTGCCACAGCCGGAGTCAGGGACCAAAGGAACAAGGCAGAGAGGGAGCTGGGCAGGAGTGCTGGGTGTGGGGAAGAGAGGAGGGAAGAGCCCTAAGAGGAAAGAGAAGCCTGCCTCCAGAGCAGCTGCATCCTCAGACTGTCCCCCTCCAGCACGCACACACACACACACACATACACACACCCCACCAAAAAACCCAAACAAACAAACAGCCCACCCCATGACCTCCCACAGTGGTCCACCTGGCCAGGTTCCCAGAATCCCCCAGGGCCCAGCCTGGGATCACCGTGCAGGCTTGTGGCGGGCAGCTCCCTTCTGCCTC